TCCGTCTCAAAAAAAAAAAAAAAAATTGAGATTGTGATGTCCAAAACTGGATGATGAAAGCTGTCAGACTCACATCAGATATAACCCAAGGGGGGTCCAGTGCAGTCAGCTGAGTGTTCCCATCTTCAGGCTGTGTGCCAGGCACCCTGAGAAATGCAGAGAGAAGTGAAATGCAGCCCACGGCCACAGCGAGCTTCATATTTAGCAACAAGGAAAAGAGAACTATGCCAATATCTGAAACAAGAACGGGCATAAGAAGTGTTATTGCCACAAGGATTCAAAGGCGGAAGGCAAGACAACTGTGGGAGCCTGGGAAGGACTTTGCGGTAGAAGTCGCATTGAATGCGCCCTGAAGGCTGGGTAGGAATTGAGGGGCCAGGGAGGTGGCAGCAGAGGGCTTAGGTGCTGTGCCAGGTGTTCAGGTACTGCAGGCAGAGTGCTTTCCTCTCCACAAGGGGTCCTCTCATTTGTCTTGCTCTCAGATGTCCAGTTAGCACCTGCTGGGGAGCCTGTCCTGTCTAACTGCTGCCCAGCCCCTCCTTTCCCCAGCCAACGGCCCCAAGGCAGGAGTTGTCCATCTCTATTTCTTCATGCTTTTTTTTTAAAAATGGAGTCTTCCTCTCTTACCCAAGCTGGAGTGCAGTGGCGTGATCTCGGCTCACCGCAACCTCCACCTTCTGGATTCAAGCCATTCTCCTGCCTCAACCCCCTGACCAGCTGGGATTACAGACGTACGCCACTGGCTGACTAATTTTTGTATTTTTAGTAGAGATGGGGTTTCACCACGTTGGACAGGCTGGTCTTGAACTACTGACCTCAGGTGATCTGCTCACCTCGCCTCCCAAAGTGCTGGGATTATAGGCGTGAGCCACTGCACCCGGTCTATTCATGCTTTAAAAAGAAAAATAACCGAGTCTGGGAGAATGGGCACCAATTTGTGTATTTCTGATCACAAATTCAGCATGGCTATCTTCGAAAAGCTTTAAAATAGAGAAAAGCGCATCTTTCTAAGAACAGGAAGTGAAAATGAGAGATGGGTAAGCATTCCCAGAGATGAGGTGTTTGTCTTTTTTAATGATCAGAAACAGGTGGTAAAGCATACGGTAAGTCACCCAATTTAGCAGGATATAGGAAGACAAGTTAGGAGTCTACTGCACCAGTCCAGGCCAGAAAGATTAATTTGAATTGTAAATAAGGATAGGAACCAGAGTTAGCCGCAAAAGAAGTTCCAGAAATAAAATCACTAGCACTGTGATCTGGAGGGGAAGGAAGGAGAATGGGGCCACTGATGGGATGTCTAGTTGTAGGTGACTAGCAGGCAGCTGGACTTGAGGTCTTCAGAAAGGTTGATACTAAGAGAAATACACCAGGAAAGGAGGCATGTGCTTGGTGGAGCCCTCTGCACCAGGAAAGGAAGCAGATGATGCCAAAATAGGGGTGGGCTTCTATCTAAAAGGGAGGATTGGCAGGGGAGGAGGCTGGGGGACTGGGGAGCATCACAGAAGGGCAGGGACTCAGGCCAGACAGGAAGCTCATGGCTGAGATCTCGGAAAGGGAATCATTATAACTGTGGGTTGTTTAAAACCTGAAGTAACGGCCAGGCACAGTGACTCACACCTGTAATCCCAGCACTTTGGGAGGCCAAGGCGGGCAGATCACGAGGTCAGGAGTTTGAGAACATCCTGACCAACGTGGTGAAACCCTTTCTCTACTAAAAATGCAAAAATTAGCTGGGCATGGTGGCACACACCTGTAGTCCCAGCTACTTGGGAGGCTGAGGCAGGAGAATCTCTTGAACCTGGGAGGCAGAGGTTGCGGCGAGCCAAGATTGTGCCACTGCACTCCAGCCTGGGCAACAGAGTGAGACCTTGTCTCAAAAAATAAATAAATAAATAAATAAATTTTAAAAAACCCTGAAGTCGGTGACCTGAGAAATCACCCTGAAGTTGGGTGAGCAAGGGGGTGAGGGAAGAATGGGGAATGGCTGCTAACGGAAATGGGTTTTTTGGAGGGTGATAAAATGGAATTAGGTGGTGGTGCTGGTCGCCCAACCTTGTGAATATTCCTAAAACCCACTGACGTGTGTACTTTAAATGGGTGGATTTTATGGTATGTGAATTATATCTCAGTTTTTTTCAAAAAACCTGAAGTTGGTCTGGGGAAAAGGATGGAGGAAGGGAAGCATGAATGTCTGTGTCCCAAAGGACAGTGGCAAGGATGGGTGAAGAGGAGCCTTGAGTCACATGCTCAGTGGTCTTGGAAAAGTGGATGTTTCTTTGAGGTCAGCATTATGTGCTCGCCTTTATGCCAGGTGCCCCACCTATGTTGCTCTGTCCCCCGGAATCCTGCAGCCTGGTAGAGCAGAGCGCTGACATCCGCGATGAAGCTTTAGGAGGGGATGGCAGTGGTGATGGCGGGAAAAGAGACTGAAACTGATCGTGGAGACGTGAACCCAAGGGCTTGAGTCATCCAGCTGTTAATGTTTGGTTAACAGGCTCTTTGGTTGCAGAGCCTGGCTCCATAGACCCCAGGTGTGATTCTCCTGTCCTGCCTGCTTCCCTCTCTCAAGTCTGGCCTTCTGGTCTCCACAGGGGTGCCGTTCATCCAGGGTCATTCCTTGGGAGCCGTTAAGGGGAGAGGTTGATTAATTTCTGGGCTTGAATGTTGCCTCTGTCGGTTCCAGGTTGGGCTGGTGTACATGTTTAACCTCATCGTGGGCACGGGCGCGCTCACCATGCCCAAGGCCTTCGCCACTGCCGGGTGGCTTGTCAGCCTCGTCCTGCTGGTGTTCCTGGGCTTCATGAGGTGAGGCAGCAGGGACTTTCCCACAGGGGCTGGGAGTGGAACAGGAGGGAGTCAGCCCTGGAGGGCCGAACGTGAGGGCACTGAGGGGTGGGGAGACACCTGTCTACCCTGTCTTTAGCGCGGTGAGTCCTTGCCAGGGTAGTCAGAGAGGGAGCAGTAGTCACAGAGGCCTCCTGGTGGCTGATGTTAGTAGAGCGGCGGCACAGCCCTGATCAGATAAAAACCTGGGCATCCACTAGGCTTTGGAATCTCACACGATGCTGGCCTCTTCCCCAGATTTACATCCCCTGCTATTAAATGTAGGCTTTATTAACATTACCGTCAAGTTTTGCTGTCTGAGAAAATACCACCCAGGAAGGATCTAACAAACCTGTAAGGTGATATGGGAAATCAGCTTGGAATTTAGAATTTGCTTAAGGTAATTCACAAAGTAGGTGATAAACACACCGTGGGCATGATCAAGTGTGGCACTTGCCTGCCGTGTACCTCCCCAGGCCTTTACCTGCTCCTTGAGCCAGGTGTGTGAGCCTCATCAGCGGATGCTTCAGGAAGGGTGGGTTCTACCTGAGGCACTTTTCGGGGATTCCTGCACATGTAGGGACTGGTCTGAAGTTGTCTGCAAGTGTCCCGGCCAGGAAGGGATTTAGGACTAGGTATTAAAGTCCTCTGTAGTTCAGGTAGGAATCCACAAGCTGCAAAAACAGATGGGAAGGAGCACCTGGAAACACCTCTCCTGAGAGAGGCGACCCCCCTCCCCATCTGTACACCAAGCACCCTTCCAGGTACTGAGGGAGCCTCACCAACAAACATCCCTGCCTGTGCAGACTTGACTTTATTCTGTGGAGACAGACAGTGAGCAGTGAAGATAAGAAATGGGTAAATTGAAGAGCAAGCTGGAAGGCAGCGAGTGCTGTGGAAAGAGGAAGGCATTGCAGGGCGAGGGGACTAGGATGCTAGGGGAAGCAGGGTTTGGGAGGGCTGCATCTAAGTGAGGATCTGAGATGATGAGACGGATGAGACGGAGCTTAGTAGTTGGCGCAAACTAAGATGTACGAAAGGCTGAATGGGATAGGAAAATGCCCATGCTTTCCAGCTTCTTCATGCATTTCTTTTGGGGAGTTTTGAGGGTGAATCTTGGGGCACTACTGGTTCATTACCTACTGTGAGCCCTGGCAGCCAAGAGCTCTGGAAGTGTGTGTCCTTACACGACTCTGCTGTCCCCTTTAAAGGACCTTCAGCACAGGCAGCCATCCAAATGAGAAGTGTTCTTTGGGGGCTCTGAGGTAGAGGGTGCCACACCCCACTCCTTGCTCAACCCATTTGTGTTTGGACATGATCAATGAGTTGGCCTTCTGCAAGCAACCATGAGAAGCCTCTCTATGCCTTAATTAAGATTGATTTTAATTTTACTTCCAAAAAGAAGGGTAAATCCAAAGCCCTTAAAATGGTCACTTAGGCAAGATAATGAGAAACCTTTCTAGGAGGTGCTGAGGTGATTAGAATGGGGGCTTCCGAGCTGGCTGCTCCCCCAGGGTGGGAGTAGGTATGGCTTTAACTGGTTTAACCTCATCGTGGGCACAGGCGCGCTCACCATGCCCAAGGCCTTCGCCACCACAGGGCGGCTTGTCAGCCTTGTCCTAACTGGTGTGAAGCCAAGCGACTCAGCTCCCTCCCGACCTCAGAGCCGAGCAGTCAGCCCCCCAGCTGTCAACACTCAGGGAGAGGCAGGGGTGAGTCTGGTGGCAGAGCTGTCCTGGCCTCAAGAAAGCAGGAGATGAATGTTCGTCCCCCGCTGTTCCACGGCAGAGATGGATTCATACCTCAGGTTTTATTAGCAGGAAGGTAGCCCACTTCTGTATCCTCCGTTAACAAAAGCATTCGTGCATTCCAGCTGTCATCTAGGTCTCTCAAGTTTCTTTAAGAGGAAAAGAAAAGATTTTTCCAGTCTAGTCTGACTTCTTGGCAAGCATCTGTTGCCACCTCCCAATCTCCCTTTTGAATCAGGCCATAGAAGTGCAAGCTTATTTTAATATTAGCCAGATTATTTGGAAAGTAAAAAGTACTGCCAAAGAAAAAAAGGACGGATTCCGGAGCCAAGTGCCCATTTCCAGTTATCCATGCCTGCGTGTCTTCCATCCATGTATGTAATTGGGAGGTGACTGCTTGCCTCTGTCCTTGCAAGGTGAGGTGAAAACTGCCTGCTGTCCTTCCAGAAGCTGGGGGGCCCTGTGTGAACCAGCCTCCCTTCACAGAGCATCCTTTGGCGTCTGCCCACCACGGCCCCTCCTGGGTGTGCAGCTCGGCTTGTCCCAGCACCACCTCTGCCCCCAGCTCCCTCTCTTTTTTGGGTACTTTCCCTCCCATCACTTAATTCATGCCCCTCTCTCTTGTGCACTGGAAATACATTCTCACTGTAGACAGCAACATCAAAGCACGCACACCTTTTTATGAGGTAAGGCTCATCTCTAAGGAACACCTCTCAGAAAAGAGAATGCTCCGGGCCGGTGGGTCTAGTCGTGTCTTACAATGGTGTTTCCCTTCTCTCTGTGCCGCCCCCAACCTCCTGTCTGCCTTTGGCGCTGGGCACGCGCCCCCTGCAGCTTCGTGACCACCACCTTTGTGATAGAGGCCATGGCCGCAGCCAACGCGCAGCTCCGCTGGAAGAGGATGGAGAACCACAAGGTACGTGTGTTGCCCTCATCTCCAGCCCATGCCTCTGTTCCTTTGGGTACCCAAGAGGTAGTCTCAGTAGCCTGTTCTTTTCCTCTCAGTGCGTGGTGGGCTCTCTCCACGGTGCTGCTCCTGAAGCACAGTCCCCCAGCTGAAGCTTAATGGCCACCTAAAGTTAGAGTACAAATGGAGCCTCGTCCACTTTCCCGTCTCAGCCTCAGGCTCTCCTGCTCTGACGCGCACCCAGCTCAGCTGTTTGGAACCTTCCTACCCAGGAACTGTGCTGTCACTTATTCCTCCACGGCTTCTAATAGGGCAGCATAGATGTGCTGAGAGCTCCCCAATCACATACAGATGCCCCGCAGAAAAAAAGAACACAGGGGCCAGCACGGGGGCTCACGCCTGTAATCCTAGCACTTTGGGGGACCAAGGCGGGAGGATCACTTGAAGTCAGGAGTTCAAGATCAGCCTGGGCAACATGGTGAAACCCCATCTCTACTAAAACTACAAAAGTTAGCCAGGAGTGATGGTGTGTGCTTGTAAACCCTGCTACTCAGGATGCTGACGCACGAGAATTACTCGAACCTGGGAGGCAGAGGTTGCAGTGAGCTGAGATCATGCCGCTGCGCCCAAGCCTGGGTGACAGAATGAGAGTCATCAACAAAAAAAAAAAAAAAAGAGCCTAGGCGTGGTGGCTCACGCCTATAATCCTAGCACTTTGGGAGGCCGAGGCTGGTGAATTACCTGAGGACAGGAGTTCTAGACCAGCCTGACCAATGTGATGAAACCTCGTCTCTAATAAAAATACAAAAATTAGCTGGGCGTGGTGGTAGGCGCCCATAATCCCAGCTACTCTGGAGGCTGAAGCAGGAGAATCGCCTGAACCCAGGAGGCGGAGGTTGCAGTGAGCCAAGATTGCACCATTGCACTCCAGCCTGGGTGACAAGAGCAAAACTCCATCTCAAAAAAAAGAACAAAGGAAGCAGGTTCTCCATTCTCCCAGGGCTTTTCTGTAGAGTTACTTGCTCCTCTTTTTTTTTCTCTCTCTCACTCTGTCAGCTAGGCTGGAGTGCAGTGTTGCAATTGCAGCTTACTGCAGCCTCGACCTCATGGACTCAGGTGGTCCTCCTTTCTCAGCCTCCCAGGTAGCTGGGACTGCAGGCACATGACACCATACCTGGCTAACATTTTTTATTTTTTTGATGTGCTCCTTTTTTTTCCCTTGTTTTTCTCCCTCCTCCTCATCTATCCCACCACCTACCAGGAGGAGGAAGACGACGACTCCTCCACAGCCTCAGACAGTGATGTTCTCATCCGGGACAACTATGAGCGGGCAGAGAAGCGGCCCATCCTGTCTGTGCGTAAGTCTTGGGGTCCTAGCGGGCCCACACTTCCTCTGGACCACAGGGTTCCCTTTCTTCTTGGAGAGGGCCCTGGGGAGTTTCCCCACAGACTCCTCTGGCATTTCCTGCTCTCGGATTCTGAGCCAGGCCCTGTGGTAGGGTAAAAAGAGCAACAGGGCTTCAGTCCTGGGCACAGGCCTGGCCCTGCTGGCTGGGCTACTTACTTAGATTTGCAGCTTGGTGAATTCCTTGACCTCTGTGCCTCAGTTTCCCCCCCTTCTTGTTGCTGAGATGATTAAATGCCTGGTTCTGTGCCCAGTGCTCCCTGGAAGCTTGAGTAAATGTCATTCTGTGGCATCTCTTCCTCCTGCCTGTCCCTCATGTCCACACACGCCCCTGCCTTGCTGTCTCCTCCCTGTTCGCCTGGGCTGGGCTCCGACACCTGCTCTCCCTTTCACCCCTGCAGGAGTGTCTCTGAATTCCCTTTTTTTAAAAAAAAAAGACTGTTAAACCATTTCAAGCAGAAAACATTAGGAAAAGTTTGCTCGAGTTTGGACACTTAGGGATTGTATGGTTTAGATGATTCAGTGAGGTCCACACCACCCTCTGAAGCTCTCCATGTGAAAAACCACTTCCTCTTCCTTGTTCTTTTGGCTCCACAGAGAGACGTGGATCTCCCAACCTGTTTGAAATCACAGACCGGGTGGAAATGGGACAAATGGCCTCCATGTTCTTCAATAAAGGTAGAAGTTCTTTTGGGGGTGGGGTGTAGGGAAACGGGGAGCTGGTGCCTCGCTGCAGACGTGTGCCCTTGTAATGAGGGTTCCACCCTGACTGCCAGGCCAGGGGCAGAGCAGATGAAGGAGCTGCTTCCTCAGCACCTGAGAAGCCACCTTGCTGACCTGTTTTCCTGGATTCCTCCCTGTCTGTGGGCATTGAAAATAAAGAGGTGGCTTCTCTAGCAGAAGTCAAGAACCCAAGGCAGCTACTCCAGCAGAGGTCAGGAACACAGGCAGCTACTCCAGCAGGGGTCAGGAACCCCAGGCAGCTACTCCAGCGGAAGTCAGGGACCCCAGGCAGCTACTCCAGCAGAGGTCAGGAACCCCAGGCAACAACTCCAGTGGAAGTCAGGGACCCCAGGCAGCTACTCCAGCGGAAGTCAGGGACCTCAGGCAGCTACTCCAGCGGAGGTCAGGGACCCCAGGCAGCTACTCCAGCGGAAGTCAGGGACCCCAGGCAGCTACTCCAGCGGAGGTCAGGGACCCCAGGCAGCTACTCCAGCGGGGGTCAGGGACCCCAGGCAGCTACAAAAGAAGCTTTTCCTTTTCCTGCAAAAGAAGCTGATGGAGGCCAGCTGGTGGTTTTGCCCCTCCTGCTTGATTGCCTCTGACCTTGCCCTCTTCTGGCCGATTCTGCCTGGAATAACACCTGACAGCGATAGGCTCTGCCACACGCACGCCTGGGCCTGGCTTCCCAGTGGCCGGCAGAGGGCGCTAGGAGCCCACACCCAGACTGGCCGAGTGGGCCAGGAGCCCTGGAGTGTGGTGGTGAACCTGCTCCTTCCTGGGATCTGGCTGCAGTCAAAAGAGAGCTACCCAATTCGGGGGTTGGGTTGTTGGGTGTTCCAGCGACATCTTATACCTCCGTGGCAAATCTTGTTCTTTTGGAAGATGAGCTATTTAAGAGTTTAGTGGCCAGGCATGGTGGCTCATGCCTGTAATCCCAGCACTTGGGGAGGCCAAGGCAGGTAGATTTGGAGAGACCAGGAGTTGGAGACCAGCCTGGCAAACATGGTGAAACCCTGTCTCTATTAAAAATATGAAAATTAACCACGCATGGTGGTACACACCTGTGGTCCCAGCTACTCCAGAGGCTGAGGCACGAGAATCACATGAACCCGGGAGACAGAGGTTGCAGTGAGCCGAGATCACACTGCTGCACTTCAGCCTGGGTGACAGAGTGAGACCTTGTCTCAAAAAAAAAAAAAAGAGAAAGAGAGAAGAGTTGAGTTTTTAATGTGCCCAGACCTTATTTCCCTTTCATTGAGTCAGACACATTCTCAGTTCATCCTTCCCCTCCCAACTGTCTTAGAAGATCTTTGCCCCTTTGTCAAAGCCCATTTGTTGAATGGGCTGCCCGACCAGTTCTTTCTAGTCTTAAATGTGGCTGCACTTAACTTAGAGCTGGGGGGACTGCAGGAGCTCGAATCTCCTTGACTGCTCTTTAGGACATTAAGCATTTAGTTTGTTATTGGTGGGGCGATGTGATTATCAGCCAAAGGCCGCCCAGGGGCCCAGTTCACCCTCCCTGCGGGACTGGCTTCACGGAAGGTTTTCAGAATTCACCAAAACCAACTGGCCGGTTCAGCCCGCTTCTATGCTTCTCCTTTGTTCCATTTCCATCCCTTCCGTCTCACCAGCCTGAGCAAGCGTAAGCGTCTCCTCCTGGCAGCCACGCAAAGTCCCCTTCCAAACGCAGTCTTTAAAATAAAGTGCACGCTGGAGGGAGGACGTATGCCTTTTAAACCTCCTTTCTCAAGTTCGTGTTCTGCAATCTGCCCTGATTTCTTTAAGATTCTAGGAACCAGCGGTTTTACCTTTTTTCCCCCATCACAAAGTAGACTCCTAATTTGCCTAAATCTAATAGAAAATAAAGATACTTCTCTGAGACCAGCCTCACACTTAGTGGGAGTCTCCTTCTCTACCCCAGAGTTTCTCAGGCTTAGCCCTGTTGATGTTTGGATGGGGGAGTTTCTCTTTGTGGGCCTGTTCTGTGCGTGGTAGGGTTCTGTGCCTGCCCACTAGTTGCCAGTAGCACCTCCCAGGTACGACAGTCAAAACTGTCTTCAGATGTTGTCAGATGTTCCCAGTAGAGTCTGGGAGGCAAAATCACCCCAGCTGAAAACCTCCGTTCTGCCTCATTCCTGATTCACAGACTGTCAGATTGTCATCTTCACCCTTGGTGGGGCTGCCCCCTCTGTAGGAGGCTCCCTTAGGGTCCCAGCTCATTTCTTGTAATCAGAAATGCAGGCCTAGTCATTGCTGTCCTCTCAGGAAGTACATTGATCTTCTTATTTTGTGTCTAGTAATGAAATTTATTGATCAGGGAGGGCCAATGGCAGTTTATAAACAGAGCTGATGCCAGAGTCCATTGGCAGGTGGAGGAAAGGCTGGGAGTGGGGCGGGGGACAGTGCGTCCTCTCAGAGCTGAATGCAAGCTGGAGTGCAGGCTGTACCTGGAGACTGGGCCTGAGTGACAGGCCAACCCCAAAGGCCACTAAGCTTGGACATCAGGCTAGCTCTGCCATGCCAGGGAAGGACATGCCATATTCAAAAAGCAGGCACTGAGACCCTCCTGGGTCCCCTGGAGAATCGTGTTTTCTTAGCCCTTTCCCCCCAGACTCCTAGGAACAGAGCTGACCTCACATGGCCCAGGAGTAACATGTCCTAGGCTTTCCCTTGGGGACCCTGCAGGCTCTTCTGAGCCACCAGGATTAGAAGGGAACTGTCACTTCATTTTTCTTTATGTTCTCAGAGAAGCCAGCAGCTTGAGACCAGTGACATCAAAAACGTGAGCATTAGTCTGAGCAGGGGTGGAGACTGGTTGTCTGGGCAGTAACCCTTAGGTCGTAGGGCCCTGCTGCTCTTTTCAGAGCCCTTGTACCTGACCTTTCTAGCTGGAATCATTTATGGAAGATGGCCAGGTGGGATTCTTCTCCCCGTCATGGGTGAGGAGACAACTTGCTGGGGTCCTGAAACAAGTCTGATGGAATCAGGACTAGAGCCCTGTGTTCCCAACTTCTTGTTCAGCCTCCTGCTGGAGTGAGAGGGGACAAATGTGGCCTCTGCAGCGGGAGTGTCAGTGTCACGCACCTTCCAGAGTCAGCGCTGTCCCTCAGGAGTGCTTCCCATAAGAAGGAAAGGGAGCCTGTCTTGAGCACCATCCCCCGCAGAACACCAGGCCATCGTGTGCTTGTGATCAGTCAGATTCAGAATGAGGCACTTGGCCTTTGGAAATCAAGGGCTTTTTACCCTTTGGATCTCAGCTTCAGAGAGCTAGGCTGTTTCCGTCAACTTCTCTTTGCTTCAGCTCTTCAGTAGCAATCTCTTGTCTTAGAGCCTGGTGGTGTTGCCTGACACCGGAGGGGGCCCCCAGCCCAGATGCACTCAGGGGTTCAGGCTCCTGACTCGGCACCCCTCCTCCTTCCCAAAGCGTGTCACAAGCATGAAGGCACATCTGGTTCCTCCCTGGCCATGCCAAGCTTCACACTCACCGTACACCTGTCTGGCTTCAAAATCTCTCTGATCCTCCCAGCCTCGCTGAGCCCTCTCAGGTGAAGTCATGAGTCGATCTATCTCCTGTCAGCATCACAGTGTAGCCAGCCAGAAAAAGAAATAGGACTTTGGGGTCATTTTCCCACTTTTTATAGAAAGTAAACAGCTTGAAGAAGTGAAAGCTATGGGAGAGGTAGAGATTTAGTCAGAAAAAAAATGCAGACATTTCTTTGTGGCTCCCTGACTGATGGCTGTGTTCCTTCCAGTGGGGGTCAACTTGTTCTATTTCTGCATCATCGTTTACCTGTATGGGGACCTCGCCATCTATGCTGCTGCCGTGCCCTTCTCCCTCATGCAGGTGACCTGGTGAGTTCCCCCCGACCCCTAGGCTGACTAGCAAAAGGGGCTTCCTCAGCCAGTCAGGGCAGAGTGTCCAGGGGACAAGCACCATGCTGAGTGACTTCATCTAGACTTGCATCTAGGGAATGCAGATGCCCAGGCCCTTTTCTGCATAGACCACAGCCAGCCGTGCTGTCTCTCCTTAGCTTATGTCACTGTCCCCTTCCCTGCCCCACTGGGCTCCCACCAAGGGCTCCTGAGTCGTTGGGAAATGGTGCTGCAGGAATAAGGAGGATGCGTCCTCAGAGATGCATCTCGCAATGTGGTTTGTGAAAAGTCTGATTGCTGGTGCTCAGGCAGCTGTGCAGGGAGTGGCTTCTGTCTCCCTCAGCCAAGCCAAGTGGCCTCGCTGAGCCTGGGCCTGCTGTCATTCTCTTTATCAGCAGCACCACTGGCAATGACTCCTGCGGCGTGGAGGCAGATACCAAATACAACGACACTGACCAGTGCTGGGGGCCCCTGCGCCGTGTGGATGCCTACCACATCTACTTGGTGAGTGTCTGTGCCCCAGCCCAGCCTGGGCAGCTGAGGGCATCTGAAATGCCTTTACTTCCTGGTAGAACCCTTTCCCCGGAGAGGAGGGTCTACCCTTCTCCACACTCTGGCTAAGCACTGGTGCCTTGGCCCCAGGCAGAAATGGATTGCATCACTAAGAGTCTAGCCCCCGAGGCTCCTGGCAGCAGGCCTTAAAGTCAAGCGTGGTTTGGAATAGGCACTCGGGTCATAGCCACCAGATTCAAGGCCTTGACTGTTGTAAACCTAGCTCAGGCTCTAGGGCCACTCTCAGCAGAGTTCTCCAAGAGCGCCAGATCTCATTTTCCAGAAACTTCCACGTTTTGACCTTACTCCTGGGCAGCCCAAGAGCATGTGGTTCGATGCTGGGTCTAGCCATAAACATCCTCTCCAGATAGGAAGGATCAGCCCAGCTCTCTTCCTATCTTTCATCCTCCTTTCGTCTTCCCAGTGGACAAGAGAAGATGATGAATCTCCAGGCTCGTTCTTGATTTCTTTGTGCCATTGTGGGGGGCAGGGAGCCAAATAATATGCCAGACAGGTCCTGGATAATAAGATACAAAACCAGAGATGGTTATTTATCTCTGCCTACTCTGGGGGCGGGACTCAGAAATGTTTTTCTTTTAACTGTTGCAGTATCTATTAATATTCTCTGCTTTCTCTTGGTCCTCCTCAGCCCTGACATAAATTTAGGTGTGCCAGGTGACACACAGTTTGACACGTGGCCACTTGGCTGATTTGGAGCGGGGAGGCAGGGACCAAGAGAGAGCCAAGCTTTTCAGGGAGCTGGCCTCCTGACTTCTGACTAAAGGTTTCCACAGGCCCTGCGGGCTATTGGATCTGGATTTGTTCACTCCAAGGGGCCACTGAATGGTTTTTCTTGCCCTCCTAGTCCCACTCTACAGACCTACTGCAGGAACTCTGTGGCCTGGGCCATGCAGGAATTGGTTTTCCTCTCTGCATCTCTGCGGCGGTCGGCTGATGGTCTGTGTTTCTTTTCCTGCACATTCAGCTGTGGCTAGCCGTTTGTCTTTTAGTAGAACTGCATCTGATCCCTCCGACACACATCTGGTGGGAATTTGGTAGCAGGTTGATTGTCTGGCACCCTTCTCCATGTCCCCCAGCCTTGGGGCGGGAACAGGAACCAGCATGGCAGCGGAGGGGAGAACCTGGGCACTAGCGGCACAGCTGAGGCTCGTTAGCCTCTTAACAGTCAACAAACCACGATTGACAAAATTAGCAATGGCATTAGTAAGTGAAAGTCCCCATCTGGATCTCCAGCAGGGTAGATGGGCAGAAGGAGGTGATGGAGGACAGGGTTTGAGCAGCCCACACAGACACGGTGGCACGTTCAGGGCAGAGCAGCCACAGCAGAGCCAGTCCGGTGGGTCTTTGCTGGGGGGGCAGCTGGAATCTAAAGACCCTGCCAGGCACACTCCCCACCCACCAGCAAAAAGGATACTGCGCGCTGGGAATATTGGCTGCTGCCATTCGCCTGATAAATTATTTAGAAGCGTTATTCTTGCCTTGTTAAATGGTTCCCTCACTGATTCTTATAAACCTTCCACATGATGGAAGCCTCTCTCCCTGGATCTCAATAACTCTCTGACTGAACAGAAGGAACCCTTCAGGAAAGCAGACAGGCATTAATTACTGCCTTCATCGCCCAGATATTGCACATATAACTCATAGAGCTAATTGTCATCACAGCCTGCAGAAAGCCACGAAAACAGGAAGCAGAGGCTACAGAACAGGAATGGAGACCCTGGCTACCCACAAGAGCCTTCTCTTTCTGGGCCAGTGACTGTACCCTTCCCCACACCCCAGGCCCCTGCAGGGGGCTTCTGTTTGCTCAGAAGGCTTTTGGTTTGCATGGGCTCTTCTATCCAGTTTGGAGAAGTCAAGGCAGATGGGCCTTGGTGTTGTCTCAGAAGTCACTCTCAGTTTTGCATGTGGCTCCCAGGGTGTGAGCTGCAGAACAGTAGCCTGCTATTCCCGTGACCCCAAACTCTGGTGCTTTCATCGCTCTGCAGGCCCTTCGCCTCCCTTGGTGAGTGGGAAGCGGCAAAGTGACTGGAGGAAGGGGTTGGCAAAGATGTGTATTCTCCCTCAGTCCTGAGCTCTCCTGCGAGTGAGGACAGCATCTTCCCTCCCAACTCTGGCCTGCAGGGCTTGTCCCTGTGCATCTTTGGAAAGGTCAGGGGAGCTAGCTTCCAGCAAGTGGCCCAAGGAGGGCTGTCCTTCCCCCCTGCCCCCTGGTCATTCTGTCTCAGAAGATTGTCCATCCCTTCTAGAAACGCCATGCTGCCTCTTACCACCAGCTGTTTCTGATTTTGCTGCCAGCCAGACTTCACTCAAAATGTTCAGCAAGGCAGCAAGCAGGTCGGGGGAGGATTGAAAGCACCTCCCTGCCCTGCACACAGATCTTGTTTGTCTCAGATAGATGATGCCCCTACCCAACCTGCATTTTTAAAAGGGACCTACTAATAATTTCTTCTTCATTGCCATTCTGCAGCAGTAGGTTCTGGGGGACAGAGATGCAGACTTATATATTGTGGTCTACCTTTCAGAAAGTCGTCTGGAAGCGATTTCTTCTGTGTCTTCCCAGGAATGCTCCTGAGACGCACATGCACAGTGAGAATCCTTGCTGTAGTAACTGTCTCCAGGGCTGGCCTGTGTGTAGCATCATGGTTACCTACAAAAAAAGCCCTTGACCTTCACCAGTGGAAAATTCCAGCCCCTCCTCTTTGCACCTGACGACCCTCATCCACATCCTGTGCTTCCCGGCGCAGCTGATATGAGTCACTTTCTCCCTCTCCCTCCCTGGAGGAGCCACAGAGCAGGGTGCCATGGGGCAGAGGTCCCCTGAGTCACTTGCTACTTCAGTGGGCTCTCTGGGGTGTCCCAGCAGGCCACTGCAGCTGGAGGCTGCAGTGACCTGGACGCTGTTATTAGGGCCCATGGAGATTATCATCAGGATCTGCTATCAGCTGGTCTTGGATTCTCAGGCCCTACCCCCCACCCCCCACTCATCCCTCCTGCTCTTTTGAAAAATCAAATGGGAACTTATGAGATGCTCCAGTTCTTTCAAACAGGTAACCTTGTCTCCAGGCTGGGGAGCATCTCAGGATTCTTTCTGCAGTTTCTCCGGCTTTGGTAGGCAACACAGTCAGAAGTTGGCATTTCGTTCCTTCCTCTACAGCACGAAGGAGCCAGGGACCCCTGGTGAGGTGATAGGATTGTGTGTGAACCAGTTCCGTTTGGGACTCAGACTGTCCCAAGTGTCTGGGACGCTGGCGTGTGTCACTCTCCCCTGGGATGGAGGGCACTGCCCAGCAGCTTTGTTGCACTTCCTCATTCCTGCATCACCTGGCAGCTGATATTCCTGTCCCCTGCCTGGACCCAACCCTCCTCCTAGAGAGAGTCAGAGGGAAGCAGTGTCAGAGGTGACAGTGGGGACTCCCAAGTGCTGAAAGCCTCTCACCATTAGGAAGAGCGAGCAGCAAGCGGCATCCACCACTCACAGGTGGACAGATGCTACTGGGTCGCAGGTGGCCCTGCAGGCCCCGGCTGAACAGAGCTGGGAGTGCAGATGGCAGAGCGGAGCTTATCCTGGCTGGAGACCCGGTCGCAAACTGGCCATGTTGAGCAGGGGGCCCCTTGTTGGCTGCCCTGGGACAGGACAAGGTCACCCTGGCCGCCTGTCCTGCCTTGAACACAAGCTGTGAGACCCACCTCCAGGGCACAGGTGACTTGGGAGAGGGATATGAGCTGCAAGTGCCTGGCCAGTGCCCTGCCACTCCCTGTGACAGAGACAGTCCTTCCCAAGCTCCTTCCAGACACCCCCTTGAAGAAGTGGAGGGCCAGGGGGATTTCTGTCTGCTGGCCTCTTCCTAGAGGGCTAAGTCAGCCTGAGATTCATGCTCACGTTGACAACAGAAGGGTCCTTCCAGGCCTTTGCGACAGCCCTGTTATCTCTCCCTCTGCCAGGATTCCATCTTGGCTCCCTCTCACATGGCAACACTGGCCTTTGTCTGTTTGCAACACTTAAAACGGTGTGCAGTCCCCATTTCAAAACCAAATGGTTTCCTCCTAAAATAGTACCACTCAAGGAGAAAATATCCTTTTCGTGAGGGTGCAGATGGATTGATGTGCCCGTATGGCAGTGCCTTGCGTGCTGTGAGTGCCCCGCCCTCCCATGGTTTACCTTGCTTCGGTGTAGCATGTACCAGTGACTTTTGACCCCCAGCCACACAGTAAAGTATACAGCATCATCCCATTTCACAGCAGAGAAAACTGACTCACAGATGGGGGCTTCCTGGGATCCTGGAGCTGAAGCAGACGGACAGCTGCTCAACTCTTTGGCCTCTCAGCTATATCCTGCCCTGGTGACACAAACTTGCTCCATTTGCCCAAGACTCAGTTCCATGGGCTCTGCTTTGGGGGCAGCCCCCAGTGCCATGCACAGGCCGGGGCATGGAGCACCTGTTCTCAGCCTTGGGAGCCTGACGTTTGCAGGCGATTGGGGTGAAACGGCTGAGTGTGGTCCCTGGTGAGTGAGCGCCTTTGCAGGTCTGCCCATCATTGTCACTGACTCAATCAATGCCCCGTCTGCCTTGGTACCCCTCGCTGCTAGATAACAAGGCCAGCTTTTCCTGGGCACTCAAGTAGTATTGGAATTAGTGCCTCTTCCCAAGGACACTTCTTCCCCTGCCGTGGTCTCTGTTCTTTCAGCGTCAGCCAACTGTGCCCTGGGGCTGTGGCGTCTGCTAATAAGTGGGTCACTGCTGCCTTCACTTGAATATTTATTCTTACCAGTGCTGGGGTAGGAGGCGGCCTAGAGGAAGGACCAGTGAGGAAGGAAGATTAGAGAAGCAACAGGTTTTAAGAGCAGCAGGGACTTCACCAGACTGGAGACTCTCGGGACCCTGTGCCATCTGCCTCCCAGGCACTACTCCTGTTGCTTTCAACATCAGTGG